CTCTCTCTCTCTCTCTCTCTCGCTCCCTTCTTCTAACCCTAAATGCACTATGAGGCATTAAACATATGAAGCAATATTGTATCAACCTTAAATCGACGTGGGAAGACCGAGATAAAATACCAAGAAAAAGAAATCCCCTCACAAAGTGTAAGTGAAACCCCCGCAGGTTAAAGACCGGTGACTATTTGCCGACGCTTAACACTATTTGCGATCGTGATGTGGAACCTCCCCTTTGTTTGAAAAAAGTTATCTAGACAAAACATTTGGCATCAGCCCATCTTTTTATGTGACAATAAATGTTGTACATACTTCTACAGAGTGGGCGATTTGCCATCGGCCAGTGTTCAGAGCTGCTGCTATTTGCACACTAAATCTAGGAAAATTATATACCTGAATCAAACATGAGAATTTCTGAAGTGCATAAATGGTAAAATTCATGCAGCTTTTCAAGCAGCTGGTGGGCAATTTATTGTTTCCTTTTCTCATTGTTTTTCTGTTATTATTGTTATAACAGCTATTATTATTTTTGTTGTTGTCTGTGTTAATTTTGTTTCTGTTGATCAAGGCAATGATGTTGTTGTTGGTCAATCAAGCTTTCTTTTGTGTGCCTATAATATGAAGCATTTGTAGTATAAAGGTACATTTTATGCTGATTCAGTTTTGACTTCATAGCCTTACAAGCCAATATTATGTCAGATAAAGGCTGTTCTCTTGTCTTTCTACTATTGTTATGTTTGAACTACAAGAACCACTTTCTGTCAATTCGTATGGAAACCTTCATGTCCGGTTTAGGGGAGTGTTTTGTCGTGGCAACCTTGCCATTAACCAAAAAGCTATCAATTATTCAGTACTTGCTGTATCTTTTTTTCTCCATTGTTTATTTTCCCCTTTTGCAATATTTTCACATGAGGGCACGGCTTCCAATAAATCTTGAGAAATGATTGGTCCCTTTAATGCCACAACGCTGTGGGAGAGTGAGAGAATGCTCTGTTCAAACAGTACACCCCATCCCTGACATTTCGCACGGATCAATTAAATACAATATCAATATCTGATTGTGAGGCAAGTATCGGCAAATTACGGGGGCAGTGTATTGATATTTCGTCACTACGCTGTAGCTGAGAGAGTTTTCTGAATGTCGAACTCTCAAGAAGGAAGTAACGGAGGCCTACTGCACATGTTATTATTGGTGAATTCTACTAATGGGATCGTAAATTGCCTTAGTTTTAAAGTTTATTTAGATAGATAGATAGATAGATAGATAGATAGATAGATAGATAGATAGATAGATAG